CTTTTTACAAGGTAAAACTAAATATGAGTTTTTAGAATCTAAGAATAAAAAGTGGAATGCTAAAAAACAGAAAATTACTAATGTGGAAAAGGGTGAAAGTTTAGATGATGTGCCCACTTTACAACAGACTTTAATACGAAAAGAAGATGGTAAATTTGTACAAGACAATAATAATTATGAATTTTTAGAATCAGAAAATGGTGTTTGGAATGCTAAGAAACGGAAAATTACTAATGTGGAAAAGGGTGAAAGTTTAAATGATGTGCCCACTTTACAACAGACTTTAATACGAAAAGAAGATGGTAAATTTGTACAAGATGATAATAATTATGAATTTTTAGAATCAGAGAATGGTGTTTGGAATGCTAAGAAACAGAAACTTAGCGATTTGATGGAAGGTACAGATAGTAAGGATGCTGTGAATGTTTCACAAGTTCCAAAAATGGAAGTAGGCTATTGGGATTTTAATAATAAAAGGTTAGTATGTGTTAAACCTGCCATTGATGACACTGACTGTGTTACAAAAGAACAGACTATAACTTTTGATAATAAAGAAAAATGTTGGGATGCCAAAAAACAATATATAAGAAATCTACCAATGGGGGAATATTTAGATGATATTTGTTTAATGTCACAAGCTATGTATTATGATGGATCAAAATTTGTATATGCAGGAAGAAAATTTAATTTGATGGAATACAATCCTGATTTATTAGTTGCCGACCCTACATCTTTGAGCGGATTTAAGTATATAGATAATAGACCATATATACCAGAAAACTATGTATTTAAAAGAATGGAAGATAATCTATTGATTGGGGCTAATGGTAATATATTTACAGTACAAGGAAAGAGTGATGTTATAAAAAATGAATGAAATTGCATACGAACTTCATAAGCCTGCAAGAAAGAATTTCATTAGAAGGTCTTTTAAAGTATTAGGTATAAACGAAACTGTACAAATAGATTTAATTGATATGCAAAACTATGCTAGAGAGAATTCTGGCAATAAATATATTTTAACTTTAATAGATACATTTTCTAAAAAAGCTTATGCTGCTCCACTAAAGAATAAGACAGGTTTGGTGGTTACAGAAGCCATTAAAACCATTCTACCAAAGGGGGTTAAAAACATTCAATCTGACAATGGAAAAGAATTTTTTAATCAATATTTTAGCAAACTAATGAAAAAATTAAATATTAATCACTATCACACGTTTTCTACAACTAAGGCTGCAATTGTGGAGAGGTTTCAGAGAACTTTAAAGAATTGGTTATATAGGGAATTTAGTGCTCAGGGAAGTTATAAATGGTTGGATTTACTTCCAAAGTTAATTCGAAAATATAATAATAAGGTGCATAGATCTATAGGAATGAAGCCTAACCAAGTGAGTATTAAGAATAGTAAATATGTGCATGAGAGGTTGACTTCTAAAGTAGTGCAAGTTAAAAAGCCAAGATATAAGGTAGGTGATAGTGTGAGAATTTCCAAGTATAAACATGTTTTTAGTAAAGGATATACCCCGAATTGGACAGGTGAGCTATTTACAATAGCAGAAGTTAAGAATACAAAGCCTGTGACTTATATCTTGAAAGATGAAAATGGTAATATAATCAGGGGAGGCTTCTATACAGAGGAATTGTTAAAGACCAAATATAAAGACATGTATTTGATAGAAAAGGTTATTAGGAGAAATGGTGATTTATTATATGTCAAATGGCTTGGGTTCCCAAGTAGCCAGAATTCATGGATTTCCACTAAGGATGTCCAAGGGAGCGCGCCATGAGCCGGGAGCGCGCCCGAGTTCGCGTGCAAACCTCGCACTGTCAAGTTGATGATTTTGTGAATATACATGCGAATGGATATGGATTTGAAATAGTAATAGTGTTGTACAATGGTATTGAACATTTATATAGGCTTGTATAGGCCGAGAGCTGGATTTTTAAAAAAGTGGTCAAAAAAAGCTCACCATGTTATTCTTATGGGGAAAACGTGCCTAAAGTGGCTTCTCTTTCTGGGTTCACCACTACTAAGGAAGGTCTAAAAACTCTTTGAGTTCGTAAAAAGGATTAACAGCTAGCCATTGGAACACTTTTTGTTTAAAAGAATTATACATACACCTTTGTTAATAATCACTCCTCATTTTCCTAATTTATATAATTTATCAATAATTTATAATTTGTATAATTAATAATAATTAATATAATAATTTATAATTTATAAATTGAATATGTTCAATTAATCATTAATAATATTCATTCCATAGCCTATATATTTTTTTACAAAGCCCACAACTTAATTATTTATTAAATATGTAAGAGAACTGCAATACATCAAAATTTCTTATAATATCATTTCAAAATTAGTCCTTAAGGAATCAAAAATCAAGAAGCAGTGAAACAGTGATCCATGTGTTCAACAATGAATTATGTGAACATTGAGATTGAAAGAGAAGGAAGCCATTGTAGAAGATGAAACTGTTAGTTAAAAGAAGGATTCCAGATTTTTATCTTAATTAAATTAATTAATATCATCAAGAGTTTATCAAGAGTATCAGTTTATATCACGTTATATCACAGTAAACCTCAAGAGGACTAAAGTCTCAACTCCATCATTGTTATTTTCAAAATTAAGTATAAACTTTTCTTTTAAACTTTTAAATTTAGTGCTAATTGGACTTACCTTTTGGACAACATCAACATTAGATTTTTTCATTGTTGGGATTTTGTAAGTTTAACACCTTAATTAGGCCTATTTGGACACTATTAAAATTATTAATTCTTAGCAATCAAGCCAGCACGACCCCCTACCCTGAGATGTAGCACATCTAAATTATTTGAACCTTTATTTCAAACTTATTTTTAATTTCATTTTAATTTCAACCCCCACACACCATTGTCAGTCCTTTCATTATAACGTTAAGCCTTCTTAAATGTCATTGCATGTTTGTTCATTCGTTTCAATAAAACACCTTTTGTAATTCGTATATCTTTGTTAACTTATTAACTTTAAACATTTATAGAATAGGCCTAGCCTAAAATGAATATTGTGTGGTGAGTTTACACAATGGCGCGGATTACAAAACTACATTTGGTTTCGCTGATAACAAACATACTCTGATGATGGACAAGGTAGTCTCCAGAATAGAAAACGCTTACGTATATACGATACTCAATGTATGTTTAGTTTAGGAGTGACGGCTGCAGTTTGTTATGTGTTTTTGTTGGAGGTTTCTCAGGTTGCATAAACACGTACAGAGTTGACAGTTGCTTACAACTAGCATCTGCAGACCTTTAAACATGTCACAAGCTGCTATACTCGTGCTTTGCAACGGGAAGAAAATGTGACCCAGAGAGCTATCAAAGTGGTGCTGATGTGTGTTTTAAAATACAACTCTATGATTTAGTATGAAAATATAAACTGATTTAAAAGTGTAAACCTACTTACTTTCAAACCCCTACTTTTAATGTTAATGGATCCAAAAGAATATGACAACATACCTTAGTGTAGCAATAGCATCAATTGCTTCATATTGATGCTTCATGAATGACATTTTATCATAATTCTTCAATTTTAGTCAAGCCTCTTTATACTTAGCTTACTATATACAGTAAATTAAAAAATGAAACTTTGAGCAATACTTAACAAATCGTATACAACCTTTCGTTAAAACCAAACATAACCCTCCTCAATCTACATGAAGGGCCACAAACATCTTTTTCGAGTAAATAAATAAACACCACTTCATTGTACTGACCAGCTGTTTCATCAACTAAATTAAATTAAATCATCTAAACTTTAGAAGCATGCCAGGCGTAGCCCTTCGGAAATCAGCCTGTGGGGCAGAGCCCTTAGGAAATTCATCCATATCAATACTTTTCGGCAAATCTACATACTCTAAGCTTCATTTTGATGTGCCATATGCCATATTTTTATTTGGTAAATGGCCTTAACCGTTTACATAATATTTGATTGTAATTTTGTTTTTGATTACTGATGACAAACAAACATCAACATGATTACTGAGCCGCATAGATTCACCGTAGGTCTAAACAAGTTAGTTATTACACGGGATAATCAGAGATACGTATCCTATTCTTACCTTATTAATTTTAGTAATTGGTTATTCAAGATTCTTGCCAAGAACCTAATGTATTACTGGTTTTTTCCATTATACTTCAGCAAAAAAGGCCGTTTTTAATACATTCTTTGTGGGTCTAAAGTATCTCTTTCACTCCCTAAGGAGTAAAAGTCAGCTGTTGTTAACTCAGTTGTTAACCTCGATTGTAAGCAATCGCATGAATCGAAATTTTATGCGTTCCTATGAATGTAACCCGTACGAGTTCCTATTTTAAGTTTGCAATCTAAAACTCTCAAGGAATGTGACATAGAAAAAGTTTATGAAAAATAATTATGCGTAAATGTAGCGATTATTATAAACCTCTTATCAAATTGCATTGACTCATTTTAACTGAAATCACTAAAATATTTCCGATTCAATCAAAATCTATTTCCTAGACAAGATCCAGAAATGACAATACTAAATTATTGTGTGGAAAAGTTAATTTTATGTATCGACACAGTTCAGCAATACAATGGCTGGGGGCTAAAATAGCCCCAATCAAGACAAGGCTATATCTGGGCCATGAGATGTTTACCCCAATGTTCATTGATTGACCCCAAACCGCCCCTTTACCTCGGTGGTGACCATGTATCGGTGGGGGAGGGGGTGATGACGTCATCTCTGAAACAGCTGTGTGGTTTGGAAATTGTGTAAAAATAAGTGATTATGACCAAATCCGTTAGCTGCACCCGAATTATATATAAATTACGAATTATAACGTAAAGTGGGGGGGAGGTGGGTATCAGGTTAAGATGGTTATTTCGTTTGATATAATATTTGAAGTTAGAAATTTAACATCTTTATGGACATGATGATACTGAAATTATTGCTAACCTACACCCAACATGCATTATAAAGGAGTTTAGGGTAGGGAACTCATTCTGTCTCTATGAACTTCCTGGAATGTGATTGAGGAAGATCAGCTGTATACTACAAAAAAAGAGGCAATGTTAACCCCTGAAGTTAACCACATTCAAGCTTCTTGAAAGTTTCGTCCTTACCCTTTATGAGCTTCGCCAGGTAAGATAGCTCCACTGCGTAAGAAAAGCACTAACGTGGATTAAACAGATACATTTACAATGTTTCTTAACATTGTACTTGGGTTTTATTAGATTTTTCAGAGTTTCGACAGCTCTTTTTTTAAGTAATAATGTAGAAGGATTGGTGGTATAGTTTACATTTCATTTGGTAGAAAGTTATAATTTTGCCACTCTCTACTAGTTCAGGTGCTGGTTACCTCCCGCTATCTCCGCGTCCCGCCACCTCCGTGTACCGCTACCTCCGAATTTCAGAGTGACCCCTATAATCCTCGGTTACTTCCTGCGTTAAGACTTTCCGTCCAAACCTAACCTAACCTAACTTAACTTAACCTAACCTAACCTATTCAACCTAACCTAATCTAACCTAACCTAGCCTAACCTGACCTAGCCTAACCTAACCCACGGGTTAAATTTTCATTAAATCTTCCATCCACGGGGCTTCGCAGCCGTGGATGCAATGACAGCCAACAACGCAGGCAGTGACGGGATTATAAGGGTCACTCAAGAATTCGGAGATGGCGGGACAGATTTGGGTTCGGAGATGGCGGAACGCGGAGATAGCGGGAGCACACGCAGGTGCTATCTTCGGTTAAAGCAGAAACGCCATAGGTCATATTACTAAAATAAAATTTATGTTTTGGAAGGAATATATCAGGGTTTGTGTAAACCAATGTAAGGTATAAGACGGTGACACACTATCGATCTTTTCCCCGAACAAGACCCCGAACCGAGCAGGGAGAAGGGAGAAGGGAGGTCGAAGGGAGGATGTTCCATAGTGTGTCACGGGTCCGTACACCGATCAAGACGCCGAACAAGACATCAGGCCGAGCAGGGAGACGAGCGCTCTGGAGGCGGTTTTTTGGCGAAAGATCAAAGAAAAGATCGGTCCGATGTACGGTCCGATGTACGATAGTGTGTCACGGTACATTTTTGCCCCGTACATCGCCGCGAGCGCCGCACCGAGCGGCCGCCTGCGCTAGCATTGATAGTTCTGATTTAATATGGCAAAACTCTTTAATTGGTAAAATAAATAAATGTTGGGTAATATGTTGCCGTTATATATTATAATCATTTAAGATGTAATGTTTGTGGTTTGTTTGGTCAAGGTTGAAAGTGTAGAAACCGTTAAATCAATTATATCAATAATATTAAGGTTGAATTAAGTAATTGATGTTGACTTAAATTCTTTCAAAAATAATATAAACATTAATATTATTAAAGGCAATTAAAATGATCATTCTGTAACGTTATTTCAATGAATAAAACCAATAGAAATCAATAGATATATAACCCCCCTCCCTCTTCCACGGCACTGCCTCCGCGCTCTCACTCGCACACACTCTCTATCTCTCTCCAAACTTCCTTTTGCCGCGCTCGGTAGAATTCGTCTGGTCTTGGTCATGTTCGGGGAAATGTTCGGAGTAAAATTTTGCTGATATTTATCTCCCTTCTCCCTTCTCCCTTCTCCCTGCTCGGTTCGGGGTCTTGATCGGGGAAAAGATCGATAGTGTGTCACCGCCTATAGATGCACAACCAAACGTCACTTCAGTGACGTAGTTTCTTGTCATTACAATAACAACCCCCGCCAATTCTCCCAACGAGCGGTCAACCTATTAAGCCTATTATAGTCAACATTTCCTATTGGTCCATTTTACTGGTACCAATTATTTGTTGTACAACCGTATTTAAATTTCCTCGATTATTATATTATGTTGCAGTTTTTACGATTTAATTAATGGAAAGTAAACGTCTTATAACACTTAAAACATATATTTACGCTTATACTGTTACTCACAAGACGGATTTAATTAATGAATAGAAACATGAGAAAGGACAAAAACCTGATAATATGACACACAAAATAATTATTCTATAAAATATAGAACGTATAAATAAATTACTTAATTAATAAATTATTATAAATTATTTATACGTGAGTGATAATCGTTTAATGTATTAAGCAAAACAAACTAATATGCTGTACTATTCAAATCATTTATTGAAATACAAAGAATAAACCTGTCAAAAATATCAATAAAAATTAGAAGTTAATACTAGTACTGTAATTAACTATGCTTGTGATGAGATATAAATACGAGTGGGAAGCAGATTAAAATAAAACTGGCATCAGCTTCTTAAAATGTTTAATAATGTTGTAGTTATACGTTAATTTCCTTTGAACTGTAAAATTAAACCACCTACTCTGTGCATGTGCCTTTTGTGATAGCAAAATCCACTCTTAGGACTTCGTCACATTTCCCCCCAAATTCCTAGTAATAGAACAATGGTGTTTTTCTTACTACAGCACTATCATTGACTTTTGATTGGATACTGCAGAAGACTCTATATGGACCAGCTGTCGCCAATTTTTTACTAGGTGTACAATGCAGTTGACTGCTTGCAATATTGAGCGGAGCAAGCATATTATTCCAATACTTTTCTTAAATATTGGAATGGTAAATTTCAATGGTATATTTGGTTAACATAAATGGAATGTCTATTTGCAGTATTCAAAGTCAAGTATACATCTGATTCGCGTAAATGAATTATCTATTTGCAGGAACCAAAGTATATGTTTCATCTGGATCTCATAATTTAATGTCTACTTTCAGTATCCAATGTCAATTATATATTTGGTTAGCATAAATAGAATGCATATTTTAAGTATCTAAAGTCAATAGTACACCTGGTTCACTTAAATGGAATGTGTAATTACTGGTTCTAAAGTCAATGGTACGCCTGGTTCATGTAAAACAATTGTTTACTTGCAGTATCCAAACTTAATGTTACATTTGGCTAACGTAATATAATTTCTACTTCCAGTATCCTAAATCAATTGTACACCTGTTTCACATTAATGAGAATTCTACATGCAGTAGGCCTATTCAAATTCAATGGTTCATTTGGTTCACATTTATAAGATGCCTATTTGCAGTATTCAAAGTCAATGATACGTCGGGTTCACGTAAACGAATTGTTTACCTGCAGTATCGTAAGTCAATGGGTCATTTGATTTACATAAATGGCTATTTGCAGTATCCAAAGTTAATGGTACGTTTCATTCACGTCAATACAGGTGCGGTTTTACAGTAATGTAGCTCAAACAGTTTTGTTCACATATTTAAGACAGCTGTTTTGATTGTTGTGCTATTCAAATCACTTCTTATTCAATAAGTTAAGGTTTTTTCGACCAACATGTTTTCAGATCAGGAAAAAGCTAAGTGTGTATTGTTATTAAGTGAGTTAAGGTCAGTGACTTTAGTGCAACGGGCATTAAGAAGAACATTCAAGCTCCGTCTCATAAAAACAACATTATATATCGTTGGAGTAATTAAAACGAACAGTAGTGTATAGTTAATAGGGAAGTGGCTGAAAAAGGGCTTTAACCAAAAACACAACTATGCTTAAAATCTATTTGTTTGCGTACGAAAACAATAAACAAGCTAAATAAATACTTAAGTTAGCTATTTCTTACTACGATTCATCCATGCTAATCTATTAAGACATTTACGCACTAGTTTGTCATCGTAACCCCTTTCACCAGATAAATAGTCAATCGTGCCTGTAATGTCCGGCTCGTTCCAAGTGAACGGTTTAAGGTTTTCACACTTAGTTACATCTGGGTTTAAAAATGCGTTTCTTGCCTCCTTGTATAACCAATTTTCAGGCACTTTAAATTTACTTACATCCGTGTTGCCCAAAATGTTTTCAATCGTTTTGTACCTTTTTATAAGCTCAATTGCCTTATGGCTTCCCAGCCCTTCGATGCCCTTACAGTAATCACACCCCATGATAATTGACAATTCAATAAATTCATCCAAGGTAAGCCCTAGAGTCCCCAATACTTTCTCTAGATGAATTTCGGTGACGGGATTTTTATTTGTAACTTGTTTAGTAAACGGAAAGTTCCGCAAAACCACTTTAGTTCCAAAAGTCAAAGCATCCAAGTCCATAGTTGCTGTGGCGTACACAATCCCGCTTTCTACAAATGCAGCACATTGCGCTTCGGCCTCTCCTGGGGCATTGAAATAGGGTATCCCAAGTAATTTAAGCAGCTCTTTGCAATTTTTCTTTACTGTCTTCGTCACTTGAGCGGTTTGTGGTCGTAATATCTCCATTTTAAGCGTATCGCCTTTTTTCTCAGCTTTGTCGAATTCTTTTTTTGCCTCTTCTCTTTTCTCTCGCCTCTCTTCCAGGACTGGTTTCTTTAGTTTTGGGGCGTGACCATCAAACACATACAATGGCTTGATACCGTTCTCCAACAGCCTCATGCACGAGAAAAATGTTAACACAAGTGGGCTCCTTTTTTCTTCTCCTGTTGACATTTGCTTTCTCGTTCTTTTTGGAGCTAATGACTGGTAAAGATACTGAAAGGCGTCGAATGCTATATATTTTCCATGATATGATTCCATAGTATTTTCTTTAATAACCGCCTGCGGTGATGCATCAAATAGTAAATAGCTTAATCCTGTCACTCCCATTGTGATATTAACTCTAATATTTGGACGAGTAAAAAAACTATCGTTCTTATTGAATTTGTATCAGTTTTTTTTACAACAAATTGAATTAAATGAATACTATACAAATGTTAACACTTATTATGAAAACCCCTAACACTATGGAGACTATAACTCTTGAAAAAGTCCGATCTCACCTCTTGCATTGCCAACTTCACTCACATATCAGTAACACGTACACATAGTCCATATTTTGTTTACTTTTCTCAGTGTCACTTACTGCTTGACTAAATATATAATTACGAAATTCATTCCACTTTCTTCTCAACAAACTGATATTCTTCCACATATTTAAAATATGCTCATAGATTTGAGGAAACAGTTATATACTGTTGTAGGGATAAACAATCACTACTCAACTAGAAATACAGATTATATCGATATCTGTGTCGTAAATAGTATTTTTAACAGTAATCTCTCATCGATGGGGTTTTTCAGAATTTTAACAATGTTGTGCTTATCTCTAGATTGTGATTTACGATCATAAACATTTCCGTCTTGATAAACTGAATAAGAAATGGTAAAGATCTACAGTCAATTTTAACATGCGTCATAATCACACGAAATGGTTACAGTAGATGGTATTGATTGATCACAAATTTATGATTTAATTTGTTGGCGAACTCTTGAATTTTATTTGTGTTTTCTTGCTGAACCTTAAGCGGCCCACACACTACACGTGCAATGCACGTCGTGCCAAAAACAGACGAAACGTGCCAGTGTGTGGTGAACACCGTGCAAGCACGGCGTGCATTGGCATGGCACGGTGGAAATCAAAACGAGTTTGATTTTTGGCGTGCCGTGCCAAAGCACGCCAGTCTGACGTGCTAGTGTGTAGGCGGTTAAACAATAAGACATTTCGTCACTTTTTGAGGAATTTAATTTATTAAGGAAATCTGCACACCTACAGGAAAATATCTTTCTAACAGTATGCAGATTTTCCCTACGATGCACACGAGCTGAAGAAGAATGTTTTAATGAAACATGCTTGCCTATCAACATATACCTCAGCCACGATTGATGTTCTTTCTATGACACTGATCAACGAAGTTGAAATGGTCCACGAAGGATCGCGCCACTGTTGTAATATATCGCAATTTAATCGTTACTAACCCGGGGTGACGGAATTGTACCCCCTCATAAAACTTTGATATTGTTATGCACGAGTGGTTCGATTAAATCCACTTGCATCTAAAAAACTGTACGGGCCGGAATTGCACCCCCCTAAAATTCCCTAGAACCCCCCTAGAACTCACGTTTATTTTGTCAATATACGGGGTAGAATTGAATCCCCTGGAATTGTACCCCCCGTCAGTCTAGTCCGTCTTCTAGAACCGGAATTGCACCCCCCCTGGAATTGTACCCCCTGGTGACAGCAGAATTAGATGTACGGTCCGGAATTTTACCCCCTGGTGACAGCAGAATTAGATGTACGGTCCAGAATTTTACCCCCTGGAATTGTACCCCCCATTTGACTGTGATAAGTGTGTGGCATCGAAAATAAATAGGCTATAATATAAAATGCGTTAAACTCCAACCTTATAATAGACTTGGAAACGTAAAACCTTGTTCACCACACTATGATGTTTTTGGCTGTATTACATACGTTAATTGGTGGCTGAAAGTTACGGATTGCTGGCCATGCCAGCTGTCATCGTAATTTGGGGACCGATCAGGTTTTTATAGGCCGGGGCCGCAAAATCAGCTGTCCGCTTACTTAAAACATGAATGCATTTTAAATACACAATCAAAATTCATAGCATTGCAATATAATTGTGTTATTGTCACCGTTGCCTAGCAACTATTTATTTTTATTTTTGCTGATTCCTCAAATTATTTCTTCACATAACCTTAAAGTTGTAGTTGTGTTGACTATCAGTGTGCATTATTAATAGGGTATAGTGTGGTGAAAAATAGCGTTCGTACCACGGACCGAAATGGTTTTGTAGCTCTCGATCGATTTATGTTCTCGACTTCGTCTCGAACTTAAAAACTATCTCGAGCCGGCAAAACCTCATTTTCGGCCCTAGGTACGAAATATACTATATTAATTTGACCACTAGGACTTTTACAAATGATGTATTGACAATATTTTCCATTTGACCTATTTGTCTTAGTTTGCTTATGTTAAATCATATTAAATCGAGTGACATTGAAGCTTTCTCTATCTGAAATTATATTGCAAAAATCATGTAAATAACTGCTTTACTGTAATGATTAAAAATTGCAACAATTAAGGATTACCATTTTAAAAATCGATTCCATATTTAATATTAATCGGTAAACCGGAGGCTATAAAAGATAAATCAATGGTTTTGGCAGTAGTAAGGTATATTTTGATTATAAATATGTGCATGAATAATCGCCTAGAAATAGGTATAGGAATTTATGGAGTAGAGGGTTCCATCACTTTAACATTTTGTCGTCAATACTAGGGTCAAAATATTAACAATTTAAACAAAACAAAGACCTAGCTCCTACAATTAAATATATATCCAACAAAATAATATTTCCAACAAATATTTCCAACAAATATTTCCAACAAAATACTACATTCGCGAGAGACGAAGGCAAAACACCATTCTCCGGACTCGTAACGTTATATTTTAATCTATTAGATTGTGTAGCATTAAAAAGGCCTACTCACGACGTTCCGAAATTAACTTCGGGCTTTGTCTTGTGTATTTGCGAAGTTTGAAGGTGAGTAAAAGTTAAGTTAGCTCACTTCTTGAACAGGTTTTAGATAACAGTATTATAAAAACAAACTAAGCAATAGTGTAATCAGGCTGTTCATGGTTAAAAAAAAATAATAAAATATCCATACGGTCCGAAACGAAATAAAGTGGTGAAGCCAAATGTTTGGACAATCTCTTCGCAATTATATTTCCTTAGTACAAACACTATTTTCTGTACAGGATTAAAAATCCAACATATGTCACTTAAGAATGCATTCACTACTATTTCATTTTAATAATACCAATTAAGTTGATTGAAAGACGTTTGAAAATGTTACTTACAGGGGAAGGGGTACAATTCCACCCCGTACATAAATAATTAGCTATTGGCAGGGGGGTACAATTCCAGGGGGGTACAATTCCGGACCGTACATCTCCTGCTCTTTTTAATTTCTAATAGAATCATCCGGTTGACTGATCACTTGCCCACATTAAAGAGATTAGATTCCTTAAAATCAAAGTGTAACTTTTTATTGTTTACTTTTACCTTGTTTACTTCTAGTCCAATAAGTTTTGTTGTAAATAATCTTGTATTTTGTACATAATATGATTAAAATAGTCTTGAATACCGTATTTGTATGTATCATTGCTATTACCTTTTATATTAACTAATCAATGGATAAATAGAATCCTTTCAATGGATAGGCGAGTATATCATAAAGAAGAGATGGCTTATGTCCGTTGAATTTACCTATAAAACTAAGATGTAAAATTCTGGTTTGTTTCCTATCAATGGTGGGTACATGTTGAAAGCAATTATCTGTATTCATGGATTTATATTAACTAAGGATTATATAAACCATTCCTACAAAAAAGATTGTATATTTAATAACGAGGGGACCCATTGCAAATTTGCATATTGATATGTGATAAACTCGCTATATTCTCTGATAATTTGATTGAATACGCTAATATATTCTATATATTAATAGGCAAGCATGTTTCTTTTAAACCTTTTTTCTCAGCTCGTGTGCATCGCAGGGAAAATCTTCGCATACTGTTAGAAAGATATTTTCCTGTGGATATGCAGAATCCCTTTAGAAATTAAAATAGGCTCATAAATAAGCAAAAGGCATGAATTTAAAATAAAAAAAAATTAACATGGGTCTTATGAGTTGCCACACTGGTGACGAAATAACAACGAAATATGAACAGAAAATCAAACAAATTGAAGAAACTCAAATCACATGTTTTATTTACAGCTTTGCGTGGAAATAGAGAAGTCTGTACATTACATATTTTTGGTCAAGTTTTCAACCACTGGACGATCTCTACTTTACAATAATTTTGTAACATTACAATAAGTTACGTGATGTTAAAAATAATTGTTGAACTAGTTCGTCAATCAGTTATTTAGTTGAATTCCACAGTTTCAGATTGTAGACGCTCGCTGGAACGCTGGAATTGTCAAAGGTTAAGCTGTTGCGCATCTGACGTCATATGTGACGTCATTTCACGATCGATCTCGCAACATTTCACCACCCTGGTGAGTAATCGGTATTTTTGGTATCGTCAAATCACAGTTTCTTTCTGAAATATTTTGAACAAATATATGAAAAAATAACTACTATTTACATTATACACTAACATGCCTAAAATACCAAACATAATACACACAATATATTTAACATAAATACATTTTTTACATTCCTAAAATATGTAATACAGTATTTAAAAATAGCAAAAAAAACAGGTAAAATAGGTAAAAAAAACATTTACCTAAGGTGTTAAGAGTATTAGGCTACTTAGCTGTTTTATTCAAATCAAATCAAATCATTTTATTCAGCTAAGTTGACAATACATTGCATTAGCTAAGTCAAACATAAATAATACAGCTTTCCTTCTTCGTTTTATTTATCGCTTTTATTTATAATAATTTATTTATTTTACTATATTGCCTAAAGTATGTGTGACAAAAATGAAGAAGAATCGTTGGACTTAGTAACATTTGTTTTTAACTCGTTTAAAGATAGGTATTTTTGAGAATGCGCTTGAAATTACCCAAATTCATAGTAATCT